TGCTAATTTGAATGTGATGTTATCATTCTCAGTCAGTGAACCTTTCATTTTATTCTCCAATTAATACATCTAGAACAGCTGTACATTCTTCAGATGATTCATATATATCATCCTGTTCATCAATGACCTTTGCTAACTTGGGAAAATGTTCATCCAAAATTTCTTTTTGAAGAAGTGTTTTGAAAAAAGATAATTTTTTAAAATGCTTGGATTTTTTGCCACATATCATACATAGATTTAATTTTATCTTGCCAAGAAATATTCAAGTCATTTTGATTTGACATATCACACAGAAATGCAGCATTCTTATGGAAATCTTCTTTCAGTACTGTTCTTTCAGGGATAAAATTTTGGCTAACACCTGTCCCTGTGATAGCCAACACACTTTAGAATGATACAGCAAATCCTCAGTGAATACCTTATTGTTCAACTTTAGCATGTTACAAAACTGACAATACTGTGTTTCATTTTCACAAATACAGTTAATAATACTTGTTAACCTATAAACTTGTTGCAAAGTGTCACTTAAAATAGTAACTTCAGCACAGAGATTTTGCTGATGCAAGATACAATGAATAGAAATGACAGCATCTGGATCTATTAATACCTTTTTTTTTTTATCAGTGTAATAAACTCTTCATGGTTTCCTGTCACGGAAGGTGCACTCTGTGTACATATATTCACTGAATTTACCAAATTCAGTCCAACTTCACATCATTTATCTCTCAAGTTGTTGAAGATATCTATTTCCCATGTTCTGGTCGCAAGAGTACCCAAAGCAAGTAACGCTTTGTAGCAAAGAAAATCTCCTGTTATGAGCCAAATGAAGTGTAAAACCTGCACCAAGTCAGTAGTGTCAGTTCATTCATCCACAGCGACTGAATAACATATATGTGTGTGTGTACACATGTATATATGTATATATGCACACACGTGTATATGTGTGTATATACACACACATATATTTTCTTTTTGAAATATATACACACACATGTGTATATGTGTGTGTGTGTTTGTGTGTGTATTTTTTTCTTTTTGAAGTATTGCATGCAGTTGTTCTGTTAAGTTGAAGGATAATTCAGGGTGCCAATCAGTTATGGTTCTCCTTAAAAGAGGCAGTTGTTTGTACTTGAAACCTTATCAGGTTCTAAGCAAACTACAACTTTGACAATGAATTCTTTGACAATTTCTACATTACTGAATGCCGTCCCTCTTCTGCTGAGTGTATAAGCTACTTTCTAAGTTGCTTCAGTGGCATTATTTCCAGATCTTATTGCTGCTTGAAAGAATTTTCTTTGCTTTTACTTTTCATCTTTTAATTTCTGCAACACAACCTTTCACACCTCTGTCTAATTCAAAATATTTCTGGTCCTTATGAGTGTTATAATGCTGATGAGCATTGAATTTCTTTATTGTTGATATTGCAGTATCACAAAACAAGCAATCATCTTATCTTTAGCAGAAACAAGATAATATTGTCATTCCCAATCCTCACTTTTAAAAAATCTGTTTTCTTTATTCAGCATTCTCTTGGTCTTCTTTGACATGGTGGGCCATTAAGCAGACAGAATTTAAAAATACTGTCGAGTTGTGCAACTATTCACAAATTCAAGTTCAAAAAGAAACACAGTGCACTGTTGTGAAAAGTTGGTAACAGAATGACATACTGGACCCCCATAAATTCTTTCCAACCAGCCTCATGGAGTAGTGGTGCCACTCAGGCAGGGTAAGTTAGAACTAAATAATGAGTGTAGCAGCCATCAATGTAGTCCTTACAGCTTACTAATGTTCTAATTGTGCTGGTCCATCTGGGAGGATCATTTTGTTGAAACATTTTATACTTTGGTATTTTAAATGTTCATTTAAAAAATAAAATAAAAATAGAAAAGATGGACAAAATGTATCAATAAAAATGAAAGAATTTGTTCCATAAAATTTGGATTCAGTCAAAAGGTCACACTTAAGGACCTAGAAAGGCAACCTATGGCCTTAAAACCTTAGGTTCCCCACCCCTGTTCTAGTCCTTCACCATCTCTTCTAGAAGTGAGATCAGCCTAGACTTGGAATACAGATAATAGTCACTTGACTCTAGCAGAAAAGCAAACATCATATACTCAATATGAGGTACTGTGCAATTTCCCCTAAAATTCACAATGTTTGAGATTTTTAAACTTGTTTCTTGAAACTACCTGTGGGTGTTGTCACATCAAATCTGAGTATCTACTTTAAACTTCATTATATCAAATTATTCATTTTTAAAAGTTAAAACTTTTTACAATAAATTTGTCACATTTACCATTATATAAATTTACTTAAACCTCTATTTGTTTCAATTTCATACTTTCTACGCCTTGTCAACTCCCTTCTCCTCCTTCTTGAGTCTACAACTTCATATTCTACTCCCTAATTCTCATTTTTTCCTCCTTAATCCTTTCACATCTTCCTTGATTTTCCCTGATCTTGTTTCTCTTACAACCTAGAAGTACATATCTAGTATATAGCTGAGTCTAGAAATTGTCTTCTTTCAAATTTTCTTCAATTTCTCAAACACTACCCTACCTAAAAATAAAAATATAAACAAAAAAAACCCCTAATTAAAAATAAAAATTTAAACAAAAAAAACCCTACTTAAAAATAAAAATTTAAACAAAAAAAAATTTCTCAAACACTTTATCACATTTCTCCTCCTGGCCTATTTCTTTGTTCAAAACCTGCCTAATTTCCACATGATATCTTTTTTTCCCCTTACTTAGCTGGAAAAGGAGGTTGGAGCCAGATTATAGAGAACTGATATGTAACACTATGGACTGTGTGCATTATCTTGGAGGTAATAAGAGGCTACTAAAAGTTTTTGATGATGAACTTAGGAAGACTTTGCCAGCTGTGTGGAAGACTAATTGGAGAGAAAGGTGATAGAAAGAGGGAGAACATTTAGGAAGTCAATAATGTGAGTGAGAGAGAATGAGCGACTGAACAAGTAGAGTGGCCCTGTGAGCAAAGAGGAGATGATATGAAAAAGTTATGGAGGGAGAATCAAAATACTTGTCATCTCATTGTAGTAAGATTGAAGGAAGAATCAAGATGATCTATTTTAAAACCTGAATGCTAACAAGTGGAATGACTAGAGTTAGAATGCAGAATATTTAAAAGTAAGAGTTAGCAGGAAAAGTTAAAGGAATTTAAATACAACAAGAGAAAATATACTCAAAGTATAGCACAAAGGTCTTTCCTTGTTTGTGTGTATGTGTGCATGTTTGTATGTATGTATATATACACATATACATAAATACATATATACACATATGAAGTACTCCTTTATGACAAAGATTATTAAACACTGCTTGATTGAATTTGGAAAAATCTTCTTTGGCACAGAATCCCTTCTGTTCAGAAAGGTTTAGGTACAGTCCCATTAGAAGGCAAGGTCCCGAATTGGATTTACTCTAAGTTCTTTTCTAATCCTAGAAATCTATAACACCACAAGAATTCTGCAGTCAGAGCTTTGTCATTGGGGTACCTAGAAATATGGATACTTATATATTACTCACCATGTTTCTGGGGAAAATATTATCCCTTATTTTACTCTTTTGTGACAAATGTATAGACCAGGGTATCAATGACATTGATATATTTTAACACACAACTGATTCATTTTCATATACAAGAGTTCAAAGAATTATTGTTCCAATTTTCTTTATATCAAATAACATTTATTTAGTAACTATGCACTTCAGAAACACTTTGTAGATGTAAAATGGGAAAATATTCAGGCATGGTCCCATCCTTAACTAGATCAGGGCAAGGAACTGGAAATTTTCAAGAAAATAGTAAACTACTTAAGTTTGCATGTATTCAAAGGCTTTAAGATCCATAATTCAAGTTTCTAAATGTCTTTCATTGCTAGCTCATTTGCAAAGTTAATAGCTTCTCTAAATAATGCTTTGATTCAACATAGAATCATTGTTATCCAGTAACTAGATATCAATACAACATATGAAATCTTTTAGAACTAGAAGGAAGATCATCTAGTCTTGTGTTCTCATTTTAGGGATAAGAAAATTGAGGCCCAGAGAGGTTTTTTGACCTGTCCAGTGTCATACAGTAGGCAGACTAAGTACTAGGACCTATGTTTTCATCATGTAGTCTTAAAAAACAAAAGAATGCTTTAAAATGGTTATAATTTGAATAAGACAACAACCTAGGATAAGCTACAGCAGAATTAAAATACCCTGAAAGCCAAGTAGAAAGGTATAATCAAACAAATTTGAACAGGGCTTGTAATTTTTAAATCACATTTTGTTCTTTCTCAAGACAAAATTCTTCCCAATTTGAAAATGGAAAACAAGTATCATAATAATAGTCTAATTACTACTAGGATTCTTAACATGTGTATGCAAATCACCAAAATATTTCCAGACTATTACTTTAATTTTGTTTAATAAGATCCAAATGTTCAGACAAGAACTTTGTGGCACCTATACATGATTCTGGCTCAGAACCTGGATATACTTCTCACAATGCTTTAGGAATGAAGGAAATAAGCATTTACTAATACCAGGCACGATGCTAAGTAGTTTGCAAATATTTATATCATAATAATAGCCACGAAATATTGGTGCTATTATTTTCCTTATTTTACTTGAGGAAACTGAGGTAAACGGAAGTTGTGACTTGCCCAGGGTCACACAACTGGTACATGACTGAGGTTGGATTTGAACTCACGGCTTCCTAATTCCAGGTCCAGCATTTTAATCACTGTCATAAAGCTTCCCAACCTGGCTTAGATTTTGATGCTAAGATTTTAAATACATCTAAAAAAAGTATCAAATTAAAATCACTTGTATTTAAATTGATTCTGAAAATCAGCCTACGGGGTTACATTATAAGGACCAATGATATGAAATCTTGGATCCAACTGTCATTCAAAAGAGCTATCTTTCTGGAAATAAAAATTTGGGTTATGGAAGACAGAGTATATGAGAAAGGAAAGCAATAATTACCTAGGCATATACAGGACTCTTTCTGCCACGACAAAGCCCACATTGAAGAAGAGGTTGCTGGCTGGGAGGAATGGGAAAACCAGGAAAAGCAAACCAACTAGAACTTCATTATGTTCCAGGCTCTGCAACACACAAGAATGAAGGAGAAATTAATTTCTTAGAAATCCAACTTCACTCATCACTAAGGCATCATCTCATTTTAAAATTCTTCCTGACAGAATGAATAAGTTAGACTGACGAAAATTTTTTGTTCTATGTGAGAAACGTGAAAGAAAAGGCTCTCAGCAAATAATGCTGAACATCAAAACATTCAAGAATTATACTTCTGGTCTTTATTTTTCAACTAAAATTGTATAATATTTTTAGAATATAAACATAACCTTTATGAAGGCTGCCCTAGGTAAAATTATGAAGAAGGCAAAGTCTGTTTTTGGTCCTTCTTGGTTCCACTTTCTTGCCTTCATTTCTAGCATTGCACATTTCAGCACTTCTTCTGAGGCATTTACTGATGTTATACACAAAAGTATTATGATAGACAGATGCAAGATAGTGGAATAGCAGGAAGGCCAACAGCTTAGTTCTCCCTTACATCTTCTCCAAAAGATCTAGAAAATGCACCAGACTGAGTCCTGATCAGGGAAATCCAAGGGGAAAAAAAAACCATAGCGAGGATCAAGGCTGGAGTTATTGAGTTTTGTGTTATTCTCAGGGACATTTCAAGCTGAGAACCTGCAAGTTTTAAGTGTTTCCTAAGGCATATGTTCTAGGACAAAGTCTGATCACCAACTTTCTGGTATGAACTCAACAAATTCTTGATCTGAGTCAGGGTTTGCATAACATTCCTATTGTCTTGTCCTAGATAGAACCTTACCATATGCTCTTGAACTTTTTCCTCACTCATTTCAGGCTAGGGCCACACAACAGCTCTTCACTGGGGTCCCATATCCATATCAATGAACCATGACCTTCTACAGGTTTCGAGAACAAGTGTCAATTGGCAGCTCTGTTGCTTACTAACCCTTTTGGGGTCACAGATCCAGGATGGTCTGAGGAGAGGATCCAAACCTAAGGTTGGCATTCCAGGGTAAGGTAGTATTGTGGGACCTTTGCCTGAACTAAGTGAGAAACAATTTCAAAAGCATACAGTAATTGTGTGGTCTGACTCTAGGAGAAGGGGGAGGGTGGGGAGAGTCTCAGTTCCAACTTATAGTGCAGTTTGAAGCCTTCAGTGGCATAACCAGGGCAGGAATCCCAGATCATAGGTGAGCCTACAGTTCCATTACTCTAAACTAGCAAATCTCTGCAAACAGTTGATAGCTGAATCTAACTGAAAGAGAGACATAAAGAGAGAGACAGAGAACCTAAACTCCATATTTGAAGAAATCATAAAAGAAAACTACTCAAATTTCTTAGAATCAGAGGGAAAGGTTGAAATTGAAAGAATTCACAAACTACCTACTGAAAGAAACCACAAAATGAAAATGCCCTGTAATATTATAGCTAGAATCCAGAGCTCCCAGGTCAAAGAAAATAAAAATGTCAAGTGAAAAAAAAAAAGAATTAACATACTAAGAAGCCACAACTAGGATCACACAAGATTTAACAGCCACCACAATAAAAGAGTAAAGAGCTTAGAATACAATAATCTAGAAGGCTAAAGATATTGGCTTATAAGAAAGAATAACTTGTCAAGAAAATGGAGTATTAAAGAAGGAAAATATATCTTTAATAAAATAGAGGACTTCCAAGTATTCCTGATGTAAAAGCCAGAACTGAGTAGGAACTTTGAAATACAAATATAGGAGTCAAGAGAAATATGAAAAGGTAAACATGAGTGAACAAATATAACAGACTTCTCAATGATAACATGTTAACATTCTAAAATGGCTAGATGATACATACATATGTGTGTGTGTGTGTATACATATATATGCATATATGTATATATTCTCAAGAATTTGAAGGGCTGTCATGTGGGATTGAGATTAAAACTTATTTGTTCTTTTTGGTTCCAGAGAATAGAACCAAAAATAATAAGTGGAAGTTACAAATTTAAGAAATAAATTTAAGCTTGATGTCTCGAAAAACTTTCTAGTAATTTGAGATGTACAAAAGTAGAGCTGGCTGCCAAGGGAGGGGGTAAGTTTCCCTGCTGTGGAAGTCTTCAAGAAGAGGCTAGATGACAACTGGTTAGGTATGTTATTGTGAAGATTCCTTTCATGAGTGGTTTGAACTAGATGGCTCCCAGGGTGCCTTCAAATTCAAGTTCTCTAATTCTATTAATTTAATTAGTTTTTTATGGACTGGCCAGAAAGCTTACCCATCATTTATAACATTGTTTGAAGAATATAGATAGATCAGCATAAATCTATTACTATTAGAAAAAATATTATTCAGTGAATCTACTGCATCATCCTTAAATATACAAAGTACAGCACATCCTCACAATCATCATTAAATAAATCTACACCTCAATTTCTTCCTTTTGAAATGAGTCATGTGGATGCCACTAGGATAAAGTAAAGTAGAAAAATATCAAGATAACCTAAAAGAATATATAGCTAGGTCTCAAGTAATTCAAATAGTGAATCCTGTTAAGTGGTCACATTATTCAAATTCATACTGTCTATTTCAATTAGGCTAAAACCAAAGACAGTTTCTTATTTTAACTTTAAATAGTGTGAATTTGAATACATGAGACCACTTTAAGAGACTCATTATTCCCACTAACTGGGTATGTAATGAAATCCATTCCCACATGAAATATTCATAAATGAAGTTTACTGATGTTTTCTATTATTAGGCTAGATAGCCTTTTATACTAGAAAAAACAGACAATGACAAATAGAAGCAATGAAATAAATTCACCTCAACAATCAAATTTATACTGGCTATTCTTATGATTTATATCCATTTTTTTTCTAAACTCATATGCCAAGACCAGAACCATATTTGTGAGACTTATGAAGATGACCCACTACAGTGCTCCTGAGGCATACACATTAAGTATTCAGAAGAGAAAATGGAATAATTAGCTTTCTTTGGTTAAGTGCCTTTTATTGCTACCATATGTACAATTCAACAAGGTAATTATTATAATCACAAATGTCTACTGCAAATTAGTTCATTTGAAAATCCACGAAGAACACAGGACTCAGTCCAGTTCAGTTTTTAAATTGCTGTCTATATCATGTAACATATGATAAAATTCAGCTACATTGCACATAGTATTTGAGGAGTAAGTGGAAGAGCACAGTGATGGAGTAGTACAAAATCTGACAGCTTTTATCTTCAAATATTAACAAAAAAAATTTATACTGAGCATCTCAGCACATAGGGCTGTAAACAAAGCTTTTGACTTCTCTCATAGAGGATACAAATAATCCTTGATAGATGATAAGCTTTTGTTTGTGGGACTACAAGATACTATTTCAGCTTTAAAGTTCTGAGTCTACATTTTATTGATCTCAAGTAAAAAGGAAAGTATGCACCATCTAAATTCATATATCAACTAATACAAGAGAAAAGTAAAACCATTTGGAATCTAGATGTTGGGTCACATTAATTAGGTGAATAAGCTACTCATTGGATGTTCTAACTACATACTCTTCCTCTAATCAGTGACTATGGAGCTTAAAAGAATTAGTGAATTTCCAAAAGCATTTAATTTCTTCTATAGAAGTCAACATCTTTTGTGTCAAAGACCCCTTAGGCAATCTATGGACCCATTCTCAAAATAATTTTTTTAAATAGTTGAAGGAAATATTAAACTTCAGTTAGAGGTTAGAAAATATAGGATGTCATTATTTTCCCAAGCATATTAACAAACTCCCTGAAATCTATCTATGAATCCCTTATGTAAGCCCTAAGTTCAGAACTCTAGTTTTATAGTGTAGCTCTATCATCCATGGGGAGCTGCTCTTTGAGTTGTGTAAGCAAGCTACTACTAGACCAACAAGTTTTACAGTGGCCTGCTTTTAGGTAGCTTAACATATATGCAGGGTCTCCACATAAGCTTTAATAGCCTAAACTTCACCAAGACTGTTGGGAAATGCTGTATAGAAATATGGTTGTACATAAGGTGTGCTTGTGTCCATAATATATGTTGTTGTCATTATTTGTCCTTCGTTCTCAAAGTGGACCTTGACATCAGGAAGGAAGATGATGCCATGACTTGCAAGTGAATTGGATTTAAGTGAGGAAGAGTTGTGCAAAGTCACCAGTCTCGCTTTCTCCTATGGAGCCATCTGGGTCCCATGGCAAGATATAAATTAGGAGAACTAGTGATGGCCCCAGAGACAGTGGGAGACCTTGGCCTTATTAGGCTAAGGTTTTACCTGAGTCTCACTTTGACTGAGGCAACATCCATTACGACTATAACAAGGTAAGTATAAAGCAAGTGTTTAGGAATTTTTAAGAATAGTTGTTTAGCAACTTGAAAACAAAGTGTGAAGAAATTTAATACTTTATCTTTAATACACAAAATCCATATTTGCCTTTTACTATGTGGCGATTTCTCTGAGGAACATAGGCTATAAATTCCTTATGGGCAGGAATTATGCCTTATACTTTAACATCCCCAGCAGTGCCTAGCACAGTGCAAGGTCTCATAGAATGAAACTGTTGAATGAGTTTTCATGAAGAGTTTGCCTTGGATCATAGGTTATTGAAGCTGCTTTGAAGACTTTGAAGCTTTCATAGAAGAGGCCAGTAATGCAAAAAGCAGTAGGTCTTTATTAGTGACCCATTTTAATTCACACAAGAGAAGTTTTAAGACATAATTTGAAATCCAGGGGGATCAGGAGGAAAGGGATGGAAACTGGGGTTCACATTCAGGAAAAAAGATATAGCTGGATTATAGACAGCAGACAAATTCATATGATTGTATCTCAGTGAGTAGCTGATTCTTGGGTTAACAGCAGGAATAAAAATGTTAATCCTTTAAGAGGTTGTTCTATTGACCTAAAACCCAAATTACACTAGGATATCATAACTCCTTTTAGTTTAGTGTTGGATCACCAGGGTTCCAATCTTCTTACAACAGGGTAATTCAGCAATGCAGATGGAAGCCAGTAGTTTCATAGGGAGGAATGGAGTGTATGTCATTGGTTTCCAATCTCTG